TTTAAAACTTTTACTCAACACTGTATTTATTTCTGAAATAATTGTATTCAAAAATTTGTTTTCATATACCCAACCTCACATTCTATTACGAGATTAATTTTCCATACTGACAGAATGACAGATTATATAATTACAACTCAGCTTCTTACTAATTGCTTCGTAAGCTACAATTTTATGATTTATTATACGTATGCTTAAAATTACGTTATGCATATCTATTCATTCATCACATTTGAACTGATTGATCACGTATATGATCAAATTGCAATTGTAGTAAATATGTTTTCCTTTTATACACATACCATTCATGTATATATTCTTTAGATATCATTTATATCTTTTTAAATATCATTCGTATTCTTTTATATATTATTCAAGGAGAACCGCGGAAAATATAAGCCAGCTGCAAACTGTAAGATATAAAATAAGAAATGAAAAAATATTCAGGTCACGAGTATTTTCTGATTAAACTTTAATTAAGAGTTAAACTTAAAATTATCATGAACTGTACAAAATAAATGTATTTTTTGATAGTGAATAATATTACTGATTGTATGAAAAAAGATATTGAATTAATTCAAGTTGAATCAAATTTAAATTCGAGTACGGATGTATCATAGTTCCCAGATTGTTCGAAGATTTAATTACGCAAAGCTTTACGACACGAAATACGTCTCTAATTTTATGTATAATTGTGTTGCGAAGTCTGTATTAGATTACGTATTGGAAATTAAGGATTGCAAATTGCAGAGTAGAATTCAAAAAATTAAAAATGAAACAGATTAAATTAAAATTATCCAAATTTTAATCTTTAATTTGTAATTCAGTCTCCAATGCATAGTGTGATACGGGCCTAACAGTTTTTAATATTTTTTATTGATTTTGAATATACTGAGAAAAAAAAAACTTAAAAATGTATGTGTGAAAAGAAATATATTTATTTCGCTGAAATAAATCTTTATTTAAATATGGCGAAAAATAAAATTTTATTCCTAGCAAATAAGCCATCTATTTTACTTTTTTTACAAAAAATTAATATTCACAGAATTGTATATTTCATCATCACATTCAAATCTTTTCATAACTAATAAATGTTTACATAATTAATAAATCGAAGAAAATATATACGTAACATTTCTTTCGCAATACTTTGATATTTTCCTCTCGGTATATTTGCACAGGTATCGTATCTTTACATTTACATAATTTTTGCACATGTTTTATAGTTTCGACAAAATTATAACTTTTATGAACTATGAATTAACAACGTACGTTTGATCCGTATATAAAAAACAGATTTTGAATTATCTTAACCGTATTTCATAATTAATTATTATAAAATCCTATTCCGAAATATTGTTTTGGATAAGTTTTGAATATATAGCGTGTTCAATAACTGATAATTAAAAAGAGAATAATTCTACATAAAAAATAGTTTGGACGTAGAATAAAATATGGAATAAAATGTTTTCGTATACTTCGTAGCTTTGTATAAAGCTTTTTCAAAAAACAAACTTTGAAAAATCGGATACACTTACTACGTGCTCGACTTAATAGATCTCGTAATGAATTAGTATTTTTTCTTCATATGTTTGCTATAAATACTCTCAATGTTCTGAATTGCTTTGTATCAGATCTACTACCTTAGAACCAACCTCTTCTCATTATGAACAGTCAGTGCCTATCAATCAGTACCGATATAGTCAGTACTGATATAGTAACATATAATCAAGAGTATATGAATATAATTCTTGCATTAAGGTGTATATAATATGATAGAAACGTGACGTTTTTGCAGGGAATGGGATCGACGCGTTACTTATAATGCCATTATTTTTATCGTTACTTTGTTATAATAACGATATTCGTAATAACGTTGCAAATTTTTTATGTAAAGGTAACGCCAGAGATGTCATTTTTAAAAAATAACTTTAAAATGCCATCATTACGCGTTTTATTATCTATTTAAAAAAAAGTAATTCATTACTTGTGACGTGACGCGTAGACATCTTATTTTCATTCGTAACTTTTAACTTATTATATGTTACTTGTTTTTAATAAATAACGCGTAATGGTATAAGCGAGTTACTTTTCAAAAGTGACTTTCTCAACCTTAACGTTTAGTTAGTTATTTATACCATTACAAAAAATTGCAACATCATTACCAAAACGTTATTATAAAAAGTAACGGTAAAAGTAACGACGTTACATACTTCTTATCCTTGCGTTTCTGCAGCGATTAATTACTACCCAGACAACAAAAAGTGTCTAAAATCGGGTCATAGGATGTTTTTTGCGTCTTAAAGGCGTCTTATGTCACAATTTTAGACTTTGTGTTGTTTGGATATATATATAGTATATAATATATAGAAATCGATAAATTAAAGCATCAGAATATGATAGAAAAGCTTCATAGAAATTTACTTCGAAGAATAGAATTATGTATTCGACAGGTTAGTCAAGATTTTCAATAATTTGAAATAAATAATCAAATTCATGCATGAAATTTCTTGTTATGTACTCTTAATTATTCAATTATGGACTTGCTGTAGATAGTAATCTACAGCGAGTCCATAATCTTTTAAATCGAGATCTATTAAATCGAGGTTATTTAAGTGTATCCGATAAATCTTTAATGTCGATTTTTTCGAAAATAAAATCTCATGTAAAAAAATTTCATTACGCGTTTTTAACTTATTCTTTTATACGAAATCATCCTTTTTTCGATTGTATTATCACACTTTTTACAAAAAAGTTTATAATTAGATTTGCTTATTTTTTTCGATTAGAATCATGCGAATCGACCAACATTTTCTAGTTAGTTTAATAGATATATATTAATTCGAACGATTATTTAGTACAAGAATTATTTATTATTCAAATTTATTTCTGATAAAAAAAAATTCGAATTCGATTTAATTCAGATTTTTGAAATATCTACATGTTTTTCCATTTGCAAAATCTTTAGATTGAGGGAAAAATACAACCGGAAGGAATAACAGTATATTAATCGATTATACGTCTCTTCCTTTCTTTTCTTTTTCTCACATTCCGCGAATTTACTGTAGATACTAAATTCCTGTTTTTTTTTCTGCACACGGAGAAGCCCGTGGAGTACACACGTGGCGGCTGCAAAGTTCAACGACTCGAGCTTATGTCTGCTCTGCACGTATTCTCTTAGTCAGCACACATCAGAGGTTGGACACGCGCAATTCTCTCTGCTCTCATATAACTCATTCTCTAGGACCCATTCTCCTCCTTTTTCTCAGCTCTCAGTCAAGATTATATTTCACAGACATGCGCGAATTTATGGACCCCGCACACGAACAACGATATTGCATTTGTGACGTAAGGGAGAAGACGAACGAGATTATCGACGTATGCAAGGATTCAAGATGTCCTTGCAGACGGACAAAAACGGAAAACTCAGTGTCAAAATATCTCGTAGATCTTCATTTTCGTATTGCGTTTTGGCTATCAGAAATTCGTATATAATATTTTTTTATGCAGAAATAAATATTTACACTTCATCCTATCTATCAAAATTGTTAATATTTGAATAAGATTATCTATACATCGTATTTTTAAAAGATTTGCATTGAAACTTCAGAAATGATATATATCCAATAAAGTCAATAAAGTAAATTTTTATGTTTCGGATTTAAGGATTAAGTAATATCCTGATGTAAGATATCACGCTGTGAAAGAAAAATAGATATTTTACAAACATAAAATATTGGAATCTTATAAGACCGCAATCCCGGGTTTATAAAATAATTTATGAATCTAGAATTGCAATATAATTTTAAACTATAACGAATAATATTAAATATATGGAACTATACATACACAATACAAGGATTCTCTCCAAAAATATCTCGTACAAAAATACTGTAATATACACTGTAAAAAATAAAATGTTAATTTTAACTTAAAGACATAATAGACTTTCTGAGACATCCAAAAATGTTAACATTTTTGTGTTAATTTACATCTTTAAGTTAAAACTAGCATTTTATTTTTTACAATGTACGTTACGTATATTTTAGATTTCCTAAATATTTTCGTATTCATACGATTTTTTCGAGTATAGGATCCTAAAAATACAAAATATACTATTGCCAACTTATAAAAACAAATGTAATTTATTTCACACATTTACTGATATCGTGTAACCTCGAAATTTTTCACTGCTCATTGAATTGAACAACCGTTCTCTCCATAGATAAAAAAAATTACGGTTTCCCGTCGAAAAACACGAAAAAGCAGTTATAACATTGTATTTCAAAGCCTGTCGCAAATTTCGATGATTCACACTGGCTAGATTTAATATTTTCCGCGCGGAAAATACCGAAGCTCTCTCCTGTTGCATTTGCGTCATTGACAAGAGAAAAACACGGGGTAGTGGAACACGAGCGAACCCTCGACGTATCGCGGAACTCGACCTGCGCCGTGATCCCCTTGCCGTGTTCGATCTTTTCGAATGCAAAACCGGCTTACGGAGGCGCGTGCAATTTCCGGTTGCGAGATAAAGAGAAAAAAAAACACGCACGTGTCAAGCGACACGCTTATTCGGCCGTGAAACGACACGTGGATGAAGATCGAGAATTCACGAACCGTACATCCTTCTTGAGAGGCTAAATATGTAATACACGTAAATATGCAATAACAAAAATATACATATATAAATATAAAGACATACTTGTCTTTTGTTTTATACTGGAGTATTTGTTCTAACAATAAGTGGTTTTTTTTTTACGCGATTGAGAATCTGCCAGCACAAAAAAAAGAACCATAAAAAAAAGCTAACGTATTATTATAAAAATATTTATTTTACATTTTACGTAAACAAAGTGATAACAACAGTTTAGAAAAAAAATACCGTGTACGTATAGGAATTATATTTAATACGTAAAAAATACGTAAAAAGTATGTATAAAAAGTATAATGTATTATATAATTAAGAACTAATAGACATACATATATATATATATACTTACGGAGCAGTAGAAGAACTGTCACTCAACGTCGTCGTTCCTCTCTCATTGATCTACACGCGCCGATGGTCGCAAATCGACTAAACCACGCCGGGACAGTCGCCATGTTACTTCGGCCCGTGATGTCGAGGGCACACCGTGTTGGTCACGCACGCGCGCGCTATATCTGTAAAGTACACGAGGCGAAGGCTCGAATTGACTTGGATGTGTTTTCGCGGCCAGACGGAATAATTTCAAGGGTTTATGATTAAGGAAGTTCAAAAGACATATATCACACAGATATATATTAATATTCATATTTTATATTTAAATAAATTATGTATACATATAAAAGTTATATTTGTAATATTATTCTATTTTTATTGAATACATTTTCATAGCTTACTTTACTTTACTTTTGTTGATATTTTGATTGTTATAAACTAAAATTTTAAAAATAGTAACAAAAGTCTAAATGTTTTTATATAAGTACGCAAAGTTTCCTTGCGATTTAGCGATTACAAGTTTCAAGGCTTTAAAACAAATAAATATTTTATTTTTTTAATGGACGACTAATTTCTGCAATGTAAAACTTTACATAAATTATTTTAAATATTCATATAATAAAAACTGAAATTTTGTTATTTTATAATACATTTCCATATCTCTATATTAAAGCAAAGATTTTTTAAATACTATTTCTTAAAATAATTTTTGATTCAGATGGTAAACCGTCATTAAAAATTTTTTGTATTATTTTATGTGAAATCTAGAGTAATTTGTAATATCTTCATAATTTTTTTATTATTTTGAAATATCTATCGTACTCCTTAAGCCAACTTCGATTTGGGTTTAGGGGCTTGATTCTTGAAAAGTATATCTCGAACGAAAACCAGGAAAATTTATAATATACGAAACGTATACTACTGTGTATTTCCGTATATTTTCATCTGTGATACTTTTCAGGAATCTAGACTCTGGAGCGAATGGTTTCATACGAAAAGAAAAGAGATTGTTTTCTCGAGGTAGGAAAAAAGCTATTCCTGGGAGGGAGCCATTTTTCCCAAGCGGAAATAAACTCAGGGAAACATAGTGATCGTAATTTGTAATACATATAAGCAATGTCGACATTAAAGTAGTAGAATTTTTTGAAACTTCACGAAACTTCTTCGAAAGATATCTTTAAAGATATGTACGTCCTGCTTTTAAAAGTTGAATTTCTGGTAAAATCGTATAAAGATTCGTATCTACCGCATATCATAAGCAATCCTTTTCGATATGTCTGTAAAAAAAAAGAATTATTTATATTCTTAACAAAATATAAAGGGATGATTTATTGTTATAAATAAAAAAATGTATCATTTTTTAAATATTTTTAAAATCGATATATACTCAAAATATCTTTTGATTTATCTCTTAAGAATGTCTCAATTTTTCTGAGGAATTCAGAACGTTCCTCGAAGCATGAAGGGTCTACCTACGACGCAAAAAGTATGAGTTTACTATTAAAATATATGGAAATGTATGCAGAAGAAATCCGCGAGAAATATGCAAGCATCTATCTTTACAATCATTGTAACACGCATGAAGCATGACACAATTCGCAATTCTAAACAAAAATTAACAAGCGTGATAATACACAATATTTTCGATTTCGATGACATTATAATATTTATAATTTTGATCGGACAAAGTTATCTAAAGACTTGCGATTTTGCGAAACTCGACTACATGAGATAAGCACGAGTATAAAGTCTCATTATGATTTGAACAAAGTTCGAATGTTCTGATACGGCTATTTGCTTCTTTACTTTTCTAATTTAACTATTAATTTTGGTGGCTTTAGATTCCGAATTATCCGAACGATGAATTTGGTGCACTTCGATATATCAGTGAAAGAACATGTGGATTCAACACGTCTATATTCGTATATTCTCGCTAATTATGTTTGATTGCACCATCAGCCGTCTGAATTAAATGCCCGAACAGATTAAAGGTTACATTAAATTAAAATAAATTGTGACTCTGATAAATCGTGATAAATCGAAAAGTGACTTTTAATTATCATTTTGACATTATTTTAATGTCATCAAGAGCTTTCAATTGTTCCGCTTATGTAAACTTAACTTTGCGCTCCGTTGTTTTTTCGCATACCTTGTAGCGTTTTCTCTTGACTGCACTATAGTACATACTGACAATGAGTACATGTTAAAGCCGTCATACACAAATTGTAAAGATGTATGTTTAATGTAAGTACAAAAACGAATTAAATCGTACAATCCTCAAAAGATTTTATTGTGCTGTTAAAATCTGTATTTTATAATTCAAAATATATGAATTGTACTTTTACACAATTTAAATCAGTGTATAACAGCTTTAATATGCACTCAGTGGTGCACCAATGCAACCAAAAGAAAATGGTATTAATTACTCATCTGCGATTCTTCTCTCAAAAAAGGAAAATTCAGCTAAACAAAATCGGATCCTAATAATATTGATTAAAAGCTATCTTTTGCAAATGATCGAATGAACATTCACATCGATTCAATATCTCCTGCGCAATTTCACGCAATCATACATTTACATGCGTTCGATGCACGCACATTCAACGATACTCGATGGAAATAAATATTCGAGGATGATTTTTTTTAACTTTAAGACTCCACAAACAAAAGTTCTTATAATATTAAAATGATATCAAAATAACTCCAAAATGATCACTAAAAAGAAACTTTTCCATTCATAATTCATTTTAACATCATTTGACATTATCATTGATTTGATGTTCTGCAATGTTCTTGGGTCCTACGTACTCACTGCTACCATATATCATGGATTGTAACGTCAGAAGCGAGAAAAACACATACAGAAAAAATTCTTGTAAAATATATTAAAATGTATTTTTTAATAAAATATTTCATAAAACAGTCAACAAAATAAATTTGTAAAATTCACCGAAAACTCTCCTTGTGTTCCGGTAATTAATAAATGATCATATATTTGAAATTAAATTATATCTATAAATGAAAAACGAAACAAGCTATATGACAGCTGTTGAATTGAGATAAATATGATTTTATTCCATTCCAAAATAAAAAGAGAGTTTTCAGTATATTTTATAATTTTACAAATATATTTTATTAAATACAAATATTATCTTAATAAAGATATATTATTTCAATATATTTTACCAGAGTTTTCATTACGTGTATTTCTCACTTCTGACATCGTCAATCCGAAGATCCATGATGAGTAGTCGAAAACTTTAATAAATGAGCTCACTCGGTTACAAAAATCCTAAGATCGACATTTCTCATTCTCAGAAATCAATAGATTATCAAAGCTCAGACCTTCATCCAAACTAATACGTTCTCGCTGCTCTGAGGATCAATCTTCCAATGTCGCTTCTTTCGACGATCAATATCAGTTGGTGCAGCTAAAACCTAGCCATTTCAAGAGACGCATGAGCGCAAAAATGTAATTGAATAAATAATTTAATTACTTTTTTTGATTTTATCTCCGTTATTAACAAATTGTTTTTACGTGCTCGATTGGCGTCACAACGAGCCTGATATTCTTTCACTCTCTTCTTACAATGATATCATTTCTTTTTACACAAAAATCATTTATTATTACGTACATCAACTGATATAAATGGTTTTTATATAGTTATGTATTCTTGTATCTACTGTTTGTTTGTTAGATTTTTTCTGATTTTTTGATAACAGTTCTTTGATATAAAATCTTGTCACGCACCTTCCTCTTTACAACTTCTTGAATTAAATCTTTAAATCAGTTCTTATGCGTTTTTAAACTATAAAAATTGAAGCAGAATTTTTCAATAACTGTTTTTTCAATAACTGTCTTTGATGTTATTAACGATTGTTGATTAACAGATGTAATATCTCTCGTTTGTCATTCGCAAATTAATAATTTCTTATCATAATGCTGTATTTTCATAAACACACTGAACACACATCACTAAAAACTTGGAGATTAAAAGATGTTAAAGTTTCTTAATAATTTCTTGCGTCAGTCATTTTTTGCTATAGAGTTAAAAAAGTCAGAAAATATACGCAATATTTTTACAAGAAGAGTTACATTCATATTATATAAATAACTTTTCGACAATAAAATCGTCAATTGATGTAATAGATTAAATTTTTATGTAAAAAATTATAACAATTATAATGTTATAACGGTAACAATTTTCTTTGAATTTTTATTAACTCACAAACAGAAAAATTAATTTACAACACGTTTCACACACGAAGTCTCCATTTCATATACAATTCTTATCAATTTTTGTTGATTTATCATTGTTATGCAATAGAATTAAAAATTAATTAAAATTAGAATTTTTATATCCTTTATGGAAAATCACTCAAAAATTACTAATTTTATTGTTATCTAACGTAATCTCCCTTCCTTTCTTTTTATCGCAGGTTATCTGAAGGACGAAAGGGCGGTGAAATAAGACATTGATGCCTGCATCATCTTAAAATTCAAAATAATTATATGTCTCCATAGTACTATATAATGTTGTATTTACAACATTTGTTGAATTGAAAATAGCCATTCTTACCGAAGCATAATTCGCCATCGATAACACGTACATTTTGCCAGCCGTTAATGTACAAGGCACAAAACCTCTATAAAGTAATATACTCAATAGTCGTGTCGTTCTTTGCGACGTTTTGTACCACAACATGTTGTACCTACAAACAGTAACACAACGCATTACTTTCTACAATAATTAGCTGTTTTTTTTTAAATAATTGAATTATTTAAAGTAAATTTAGAAAGAACAAACAATTTAAAGAAATAGAAAATAAAATAATTTTAAGAACACTTAAATAGGTAAGCTGAGAAATAAATAGAACAGTTATTCTTCTGCGCTGCTGAGGATCAGAAAGCAAAAAATTTTAGATACTTTTTCCCGAAAAATCTATCTGCATTTTACCACATTTTTGTTATATTTTTCCACATCGCGCGAATAACTTTGGTGCGACATATTTACGCTTTGAGGAATATATCTGCACTATGGTCCATTATTCTTTGGCCGGGATAACTCAAAACGAAAAGATGTATGAAAGCACCTATTACCATCGCTACATATCTGACCATCTCTTCTTTA